CAAGTAAAAAAGTTTGATTTATGACAAATTACATAATTATTTTTCAACAAGTAGTGATATCCATGTATAAATTATGAATGTTACATACAAGTTTTATAGCAATTAATTTAAAACTAGTTAATTATGTACAAAGAAGCTAATTAATTATGTACAAAAGCATATAATGCCAACCAACGACATATTGACATATTTGGGCAGGAACCGAATGCCTATAAAACTGACCAGATTGGAAGTTTAAAAACCTCATCTAATTGTCAGGTATAATTAATGTATGGTTTTGTTATTCATATCATAAGCTCTGCATTATCAGGATATCACGCATTTATTCCAGTATCATTTGATTAGGAAAAAAGTATCAAACCAGTTTGATCTAATTATCACCAAACATACAACTGACAATATCTTTCAATTCATAGTTTACTAGTTGCCATCTATTCTCTGGAATATTGCTGGCTATTGGTTAAGAAATGCTGCTATCAGTGGTAGTTTTTAAGGAGAAAAAATGGATTTAAAAAGGGGAGACCATGTTTAAAGAGATCAAATAAAAAGCTAGTATGTTAATCTAGTTTATAAATTATAAGTATATAGTGACAAAGAGCAGCCTAGTATCGACCCAAAAAACTGCAAAAAAAAATTTATTTGTAAAGATATATGTACCCCTCTGTCCACTGCAGCATTATCCACAGTGACCAAGGCACGGAAACAACCAACATGTCCTTCAACAGACGACTGGATAAAGAAGATGTGGCACATACATACAATGGAATATTACTCAGCCATAAAATGATGAAATACTGCTATTTGCAACAACATGGATGGATCTTGAGAATATCGTATCAAAACAAGTCAGAAAGAAAAAGTCAAGAACCATGTAATTTCACTCATATGTGGGACTTATGGACAAACAAGACAAACAAAAACTCATCGGCACTACAGTACGGTGGAACCTAAGGGAAGGGGTGTAGAGGGAGGAGGTAAGGGTAAAAAAATTAAATATATGGTGAAGGAAGGTTAGGTGACTTAACTTTGGATTGTAAACACACAAGGCAATATACAGATGATGTATTATAAGACTGTATACCTGAAACCTACATGATCTTATTAACCAATGTCACCCCAATAAATTTAATTAACAAGAAGAAATTATAAGAGGAAAGAATGAATAGCAAAGAGTGGGCATACAAAGAAAGAAGGATGTACTTAGGAAATAGAACTAACACCAGCCATGGTAGTAGAGGAGAAGAGATTTCAGAATTACTCTGATTTTGATTTCTAATCTGAGTAATGAGGACAAATCAAGTTTTTGTCAACTAAGAGACAGGTTATTCTAAAGGTGTGTTTACACACTCGCGTACACACCTACACACATATAAATATATGCAGATTGCCCTGTTTCTGTTTAGTAACACCGCTGTCTCATCCCTCCCTCCCTAGGTAGCTGACTGTGCACACCCTTTATGCACTGAGAGGATCACATGTTAGCAACCTTGCCCTGTTTCTGTTTAGTAACACCGCTGTCTCAGGATCACATGTTAGCAACCCGCAGGGATGGCCATGAGAGTTGACATTGTAATTCTGAAATGTCCCAACAAAAACAAACTCAACAGCCATGTCAGTACAAAAGGATGAATGCCAACATGGAGTCTGGAGATAAGAATTGATTTTGCGGTAGAAATTATTTGTGTTTCTGTCTTATCTCCAGACAAAACATTTCAGCCGCGAGAAGGAATCGTCTCCTATAGCACTAATTAGAAACGTAAATCTCCCCGAGACCAATGCCAAGGCAGCTTATTGTTTGTCACTATATGTGATAATAGAATCTTCTGACATTTTATTCCCCTGAAAAAAATGCAACATCTTTAATAAACCACTGCCCAGCGGAGAGCCTCATTTCAGCATATCATAACAGAAATTACAAGACAGAAAACATGCAAAGCCTTAAGACAAGCAGCTCAAACCAAATTTATTCTCAGAATTACCAGTGGGCATAAAAATTTTTCATTGATACCAAAATAATTACAAAATACTAGATTGCCAATTGCATGTTCCACATTGCAAAATTGAAAAAAATGCCCATATTCTGAGTAGCACTAAACACAACAGAGATTGTTTATACACCTTTTCAAATGTCCCTACTGTGATATGTAATTATAGGCTGCTGCCCTGTAAATGGCTGATAAAACCTAATCTAGATTTTTTTAAAGTCAGGCAACTATAATATTATAAAAATGTACCTCATAAATATTGCCCCGCCCCAATCCAAATGTGTTTTTTATAGCTTTTCTTTGCCTTTGTTTTCTGAATGCCTCACTCTATTAAAGAACTATTTACTTATTATCAAAAGCCATGAAAACCATGTCACAGTTCATGCGACATTAACCACAGGTGTCTTGTAATGATACTGCCCAACACTCAAGCGATGATGCCTGGCCAATGAACCGCTGCTCTGGCCTCACTAGTTAAGTGCTACAAGCCTCACGCCTTGACCTTCCGACCCAGGCGTATCACTGTGGCCGAGCTCACATCTCTCTGGGAGCATCACTAACAATTACACGAGCGGAGAAAAACAGTCGCAGGCGTCAAAAATCCCTCGGTCCTCTCTGCAAAGGAACGATCGCTTCTGGACAAGCAAACCTAGAAGAGAAAAGCAGGATGCGCCAAACCACAAGGGAACTGGAGTTACTCCTGTTTCTACCGCTATTTTAATCGCTGCAGACAAGACCACATTCTGCACGGCACACACCTCCCTGAGGACCGGGGATGTTCGGCCGAGAGCGGCAGACTGGGGTATGCAGTTTACCCCTCTCCGGAAGCAACCCTGCTAGCTGACTATGAGATTCTGATCGTCTGAAAAGCACTCATGCCGCTGTGTTTTATCAATTGTTAGCAACTTATAAACACCAGGTAACAGGAGCCTGAAAACAATCACTCGGAGTCAGCGAGAGCTGGTGGGAGACGGGCCGGAGTAAACTGTATTGACACCATCTTCTCTGCTGTGACACAGGAGGAAATTAACACTTACCAGAATATACTTTCATCACAAAAGCAATTCTAGGAAGTCGGGTGAGGATATTATTAATTTTTTTTCAATAAAAACCATTTGTTCTTCTGACCATTTATTACATTCGTGTACCTTTTAAAACCACATGGAAAGTACTTACTGCAGTCTGGCTTTTCCAAAGAGTACTTAATCATACACTACACATTCCATCAATAACATGAAGAAGATACACAGAACATGATATAGAAAAGATGTCCTCTTTTTATCATATCTACATGAAAAGTATGTAATTTAAAGTGTCACTTGGAAAGAAAAAGGATCGCATAAGCTGTCAAGAATTTCATCTCAGTCAAATAAATTAACAATATCACATACACTGAACACATTCAAATACATCAGCTTTGCCAAAATTACTGGTGTATTTTTTTATTAGATGTTACAAGTTTAAACCAGCAGCACTTACAGTGTTTGAAAACAAGCAACAGTATAATAACCCTGCTTGCTCATAGATGATCTGCTGGAGATTATCAGCATGCATATATTTAATGGGATTCCCACAAAACTGGGAGATTCCTTTTGATTAAAACAAACGACTGAAGAGGATAAAAAACACAAGAAGCTTCTAAATCTAAATGCAAGCCAAAATCATCGCGAGACACCACAAATTAACATCTAGAAAGATTATTTACTCAACAAATAATGATTGAGTACCTCTTGAGAGCCAAGAGTGGTAGGTACCTGTCTTTATACCAGTAGAGCTCACAGACCGATGGGAAGACATAGCAGACAAAACTGCAGTGCAGTGAGGTAAATGCCACAGCTCTGCCTGGTGCAGTGAAGTAAATGCCACAGCTCTACCTGGTGCAGTGAGGTAAATGCCACAGCGCTACCTGGTGCAGTGAGGTAAATGCCACAGCGCTACCTGGTGCAGTGAGGTAAATGCCACAGCGCTACCTGGTGCAGTGAGGTAAATGCCACAGCGCTACCTGGTGCAGTGAGGTAAATGCCATAGCTCTACCTGGTGCAGTGAGGTACATGCCACAGCTCTACCTGGTGCAGTGAGGTAAATGCCACAGGAGTTCTCCCTGGCACAGGAACCCAAGACCCCCAGGGTACCTTAAAAGCCACGTGAAATGATGATGAATTACGAAACCCATCTCCTCTTTTCTAGAAACTGGGTGCAGAGCTGGACTACTGTGGGGAGGACTGTTAACATGACTTCTCAGCCACAGAGGAGACCAGAGGGTTGTATGTGGTCACATTAGTAACTCTCTCAGTCACTCCCCTGCATTACATCATTAATAAATACCTAGGAGTTAAACAGCTATGACCTATGGTGATGGGACTTCTAAATGTAAATCTGCTTAAGGAAAATAGATACAGTCACACTTCATTTAGTTGGCTACCTTACATATTTGGAAAACATTGAAGGACACGGAAGGTAACAAAATTGTCCATTAAGTAGGAAAAACAAATTTTAGAATCTGCTCCCTAAAACATATGTAATATGTAGAAAAGCCCCCAAACTCACTCAAAATCTAGACAGCTTTGTTTCAGAGATGGTTCTAGTAAGTACACTAGAACTAGAAAACCTGGGGAGGTAGTCACAGAGACACCAGTCCTCAGGAACAGGCCTCGCGACGGGATGGAGGAGATTGATTGATTTATAGTTTAAATATTATTTTACTGATTTCAGAGAGGAAGGGATAAAGAGAGACAGATACATCAATGATGAGAGAGAATAGTTGATGGCTGCCTCCTGCACGCCCCGCACTGGGGATCGAGCCCGAAGCCTGGGCATGTGCCCTGACCGGGAACCGAACTGTGACCTCCTGGGTCATAAGTCGAGGCTCAACCACTGAGCCAGGCCAGCGGGCAGGAGGGAGGAGATTTAACGAGGGTTAGAAATCAGTGAGAACCTGAATGCGTACTCTGAGCCCCTGCCTGTGAAACTGTCCCCTCTCTCCGCCTGATGGACTTGTGGGTTCCCTGGGGGAACTTTCTCCGTGGCTTCCCTGGCGGGCAGGATGTGAAACACCGTTTTCTTTACAGAAGGACCCAGCGGTGGTGCTGGGCGGAGGGCAGCTGTGTTCAGGGGGAGGCGGTGTGTGCAACTCCGTTGCTCTCTACTCTAAAGCAGCTGTTTTGTTTTGTGTTTCAACTACAACTACAAATGCTTACGGCCCTTTAATATACCACTGTGGGCAGACTGGCATTTTAAAAATATGAGATGATGCTGTTATAATAAAAAATGTAATTAAAATGCTGTTCGGAGCCAGGGTACAAGGATTCTGTATCTCAGGGCACCTGACAGCTGACAGCGGCACGGTCACCCCCGCGGGGAAGAATAACTCCATGAATGAATGTCAAACGGTGCTTACAGGACGCGCTTCCCCATCTGCATGGCCGTCCTCTGCACACAGGCCACCTTCGCCAGCAGTGAAATCCTTAGATTTTTACCCCGTTTTCCCACGGCTGCAGCACAAACATGTTCCGTGCTTCCTAAACGGCATAACTATCTTAAGGTTTCTGGCAGGCGGCAAGGAGGAAATTAATTTCCCGGCGCCCCCTTCTCGTCGCTGCCTCCTCGCGCTGACATCTTGCTTGGAAGACCGGGCCTCCTCCGAGGGAGCTGGGAGGCTGGGGCAGCCTCCCTCCCTGGCTGCCTCCACTTCGCGGGCGGGGAGTGACTGCAGACACCGCGGTCACAGCACCTCGACTCAGTCCTCAGACGGCAGGAGCCTCCACCGGAGGGGGGAGAGGGAGCCCTGTGCCCTGTGCCGTGACGGGATCCCACTTCCACGAGATGCATTTAAACAGGGAAAGGCAGGCGTGGCCCACACCTCACGGCTGTAGGCAACGCCGGTGACTTAGGAACAGCTGGCCGTGGGAGAACAGGTATTCACTCCTCCCAGCGGTTCTACCTCAGGATCAGCCAAAACATTCCGAAGGCAGCTCAGCAGGTTTGATTTTCACCCCCAGTCACAACCACTGTATGCTCAGAGGCTTGCAGACGGACAAGCTTCGTACAAAACATGCACCCTGTGCCACACAGATTAGTACCTGCACATACATGACATCCAATGGCTATTTTAGCCTCTAACCAACTTCTTCTTTTCTCCTTGAGTAATATAATCTATATGGTCCTGTAGGCTGGCTAAAGCCAACACTGTAAAATGAATGATAAATAAAAATAAAGGATCATCACAGATCAACAAAATGTGGTCTATCCATACAATGAAATATTATTTGGCAACAAAAAGGAATTAAGTACTGATTTGTGCCACAATATAGATGGATTTTGGAAAAACAAAATTTAGGCTGAGTGGAAGAAACCCATCACAGAAGGCTACATACTGTATAATTCCTTATATTAAATGTGCACAATAGGCAAATCTGTAGACATAACAAGTACACCAGTGGCCACCAGGGGTTGGGGGAGAGGGAACGGTGAATGACTGCTGATGGGTGTTGGGGTTTCATTTTGGGGTGATGAATAGGTTCTAAAATTAGGAACTTGTAATAATTGCACAAATTTGTGAATACACTAAAAACCACTGAATTGGACATTTAAAGTGGTGAGTTTCGTGCTGTGTGAATCATATCTCAGTGCTATTTTTTAAAAAAAGCTCCTTAGCTAATTAATGATGCTCCACGGATAGGAGTTCTAAGTACAAGAGGACTGAGGTTTCAACCACGATCACTGGCACTTGGAACTTTATCCGAGTGAGCTCATCTGTGTGCCCCCGGACCCGCCTGTCTGACAAAGCTGGAGAAGTGCTTCTCTCTCCCTATTCGCTTTCAGAAACACATCGCTCTCCTCTTAGAAGAAAGAGGAAGAGGAGTGATTCCAGGACGTGGTTAATTCACACAGCGCTGCGCTTTGCTAACAAAGTATGTTCAATAGTAATCCATCCAGTGTAATTTATTAAGCCGACAGGCAGTTCCAAGGAAATGTTTGGTCATCCGAATACTTGGCAGACACAAAGACATCCGCAGGTAGTCACCTAATTCACAATCAATTATAATATCTAAAGGTAGAAACGTCTATTGCTTTGCAACTAGTGGCCACTGTTAGTCGATAAAAACGGGAAATGTTGTACATATAAATACTGACCTTGTTTCCTTTAACCCTTCTTTCTGAATGACTTCCAATATCTGCTTCGCTGTCATTGGGGAGTTGGGGTGTTTTTCTAGTGCCTAAAATATAAAAATAAACATAAGATTAACAGATGATTGCATGGAAGCGTCAAAAATGAAAGTGTGTGTGAATCACAGAGTGGATCCTTAAAATTTTAAAGGGGGAGGGGTTATTATATAAAATAAGGTCCCATCACACAATTCAAGTGTCCAAAGTAAGAAAGTAATTTTTCCTGGACATTTACCAGTATGGCAATTTCTGCAACAAATAGGGGCCATTCTACATAAAAAAAAAAGTCAAAAAGGCATACACACCAACCAAAAAGTGAAACTTAAAAAAAAAAAACCTTAATAAATGTATACAATTTCCTTTATTAAAAATCGCTAGTATTTCATGGTTAAAGACCTGCTTTCAGGCTGTTAAAGTGTTTCCTAAATTTCCAGGCCTTGGAACCATGGAGCCTGAGCACTACAAACAGCCCAGAACAAAGTGCTGGTCAGGAACCTCAATGGATTCCCATTTTGATCAGCTCCTTTTACACTAAAAAGAAAATGAGGGGAAAGTCCTTGGTGACCCAAACGGCCGAAAGCAAACAGAAACCCAAGTGCCTCGTCGCAGTGTGTTTTCCAGCTCAGCTCAGTTTCCTTTCTTTTGCCTTTTCCGATCAATTTCATGCCTCTTCCCATCCAGCCCATCTCCGTGTTATAAACGGATCCCATCCCCCCCCCGCCCCCCCGCTTCCTCTCTGTCCTACTTATGTTTCAGTAGAAGGGAGCTCCTTAAGCAACGTGCGGGGAACACATGGCACATGGTTCTTTCCACAGGCGCTAGATCATCTGTCCTGAAAATCAAGTTCTTTGATTCAGCCTGGGACTTAGCTACAGGTGTCGAAAGCAGCCCACAGCAGTGACCTCACTGCTCACCAACAGGGACTACAGGGCCACCTGTAGGGACAAGAAGCAAGAAGGCACACCCTCCGCAATGCCTTCCTCCACGGGGAGACGGCCCCTAATGGCAGACCCTGGACAGAAGCTGCTGCACATCATGACCCCAGGCCACTGAGAGACTAGCTTTCTACTGGTGAGGGTTTACCAGAAGGATCCGAATGCGGAAGAGTTACCAGGGCGCTCAAAACCCCAAACTGCAAAGGCTCCCACATCTGTTCACGACAGCTCTGTGGCCTCCCCGACAATCATTGGCCGAAGCTCCACTAAGTCACGAGCAAATATTCTGTCCATAGGGTCTTCCCAGGAGTTACACACAGGTAGCCCCACCCCACCCCCGTTAGGGCCACTTTCCTGCTCGCCCCTTTCTACGTCCCAGGAACATTCCCCCATTGTTCCCAGTCTGGACCAGTCCCTTCGTCACAGTTGGCAAGTGCTTTAAAGAATACAGACATCTGAGCGACAGTCGGGAGAAGGTATGGCAACAAGCATTCCATTGGAAAAGAAGAAAAACTGTCCTCGCGGAAGAGGACTCAGAGCTGAACTGAAGACTGGGAAGGCGGGGGGCGGGGGGGGTGGAGAGCTCAGGCAGAGCTGTAGAGGGAGGAGGACTCACGTGTTGTGTAAACACCTCGCTTGAAAAAGGCAAGGCGAGAAGGAAACTGCATGGTAGAGCTGAAAGGGGAAGGTTAGATCACAACGGAGGGAGGGGAAGAGACATGAAAACACACAAGCTGACAGACTTGTTAACATGAGAACTGTAAGCAGAGAAGTGCACACAGTGGGTTATGAAAGGAGACGCTGTGGTCACGTGATGGGCATCACCCCACATGATGGGCGATGCTGAGGGCACCAATAGACTCTCATAAAAGATATGGGCTGAAGGTCAACAGACCTGTACAGACACACACAAGTAAGCAAGCGAGGAAGAGGGGCGGGGAGGCACAGGATGGAAGAAGGAAGGGGTTAGAAGAGGAAGGAGAGGAAGGAGGAAAATTGAGCTGAACTGGGAAGTCCAAAAGGCAAACCGGTTAAAACTAGAAAGGAAGGGCTGAAGAGGACAGAAACTCCAGGTTACAGGGCAACGTTTTAAGGGACACTGGGGTGCACTCGAAAGTGGGGTTACTCACGGTGGAGGACTCCCTGTTTCTCTTCCTGAGTACAGGCCCCTCAGCACACCTGGCAGCGCCTGCCAGCAATTGAGAGAATTGGGAAGCCCTGTCCCCTTCTCTATGCCATCACATCCTACTCCACAAAGGAAGTAAAAGGGCCACGAATGACACCATACAGCCGGCGAGAGGCGGGAGGCAACGACAGGGCCACACAACACGCCAGAAGCTACCCTCAGTGCCTGTGAGGCAGAGAAAGGGGGCAGAGCAGGAGGGGTGCCTGGGTGCGAGCACCCCTCACTGTGCTAGGTGTGTGAGCGTGGACAGGACACAAGAGAGAGAGGAACTGCCTTCACAGAACAAAACATCGATACCATCCAAATAACGGAACACATGGCAGAGACGTGGACCAGACTCGCGGGCAGCTACACTCAGACACCATGGTGGGGAGAAGTCACAGGCGGAGCGCAAGCCTACACCCCCGGCCCCGACCTTAGATCCCCCCAATCTCCCGACGTGGAGGTGGTACAGTGTCACATGTCCTGCAAAATGGTACTCTCTGGATTCTCCTTCATGACATTTCTCAAATACTATTTGCATACGTTTTCACCGTCAATTAATTCACATGTTCTTACAATTGTTTTCCACCTTGTACCCACTTCTTAGAAAATGGGGCAAAGGATTCAATACAGCAGAGAAGGGAATAGAAGTTTTAAGACTGTTTATCACAATAAGATGTTTCCAGAAATAGGTCTAAGGAATATTTCAGATCATCCAAATAGGTTCAAACTGGCTTAGGCAAAAATCATGTAATTGTGGCAAAAGAGGAAGTCCAATTTTAAATTTTGCCATGGATAATTATTGAAAATAATCTTGTTTTCTGGGAGTAAAAAGTAGAAAAATGCAAACTCCCATTTTATTGAAAGCAAAATGGACCCACAAGCCTGCAACCAAGAATATGAACCATGCCTAATATTTGTTCTCTTTCTAGTTTTTCTATTCATACACATTATTTTTAATGTAATTATAATTAAGTAAAATACATGTATATTAGCTGTCTCCATGTAATTTGAATTCTCCAAAATAGCATCATAATTAACACTTCTGAGAGTAGGCATTATTTTAAAAATTCAATTAGTAAACAGAAATACCCAAAGAACATATTTAATGTAACATTTTAAGACTATTATTGAGTCAAAGAATTTGAATTCTGTTATGTCTCTGGACGCACAGCCAAATGTTTGCAGAAAGATTTTAACAATTTATCCTCTGACCAAACAGAAGTGAATGTACCCCTTTCACCACAAGTTGGCCAGTATGAAGCATTAGCCTAGTAGGTCAAACAAGTGGTGATTTGTTGTTATTTTTATTATACTTCTGTAAATACTAATGAGATGGAGATGTTTTCAAATGAATCTCGTGTGGTATAGGATAGGCCACTTGGGATATTTCTGTTTTTATTAATGGGGGAGAAGCTCTTTAAACAGTCAGAATGATACTCATTGTTTTGCATAGTAGTGATATTTATTCCTTTTGTTGCTTATCTTTTGGATATTTTAGGGGGATATGCAACGTTTTCCATTTTCATGCTAACAATTCCATCAGATTTTCCCATTGTGACAGCTACAGCTCTTCTGCTTAGATTTCCCTCTTATCCAGAGAGCATGCAAATGTCCACAATAGTTCTTTCAAGTATCCTCGAAAGCTTGTATTTTTTAATTCATCTGGGATCTCCCTTTCTGTACCAAGGTGAAGCGCTAACCTCCCATGCCTGCTGGTAAGTCAGGACCTCCCGCCACAGTGCTTGCTAAGCCTGCCACGATGAGTGAGGCATCCGCTCCCACCTACCAATATGAGGGCAATGGATACCCTTTTGGATGTGGAACCCACATAGAAGGGCGGGGCCCATTACAGAAATGGCACAGAGCAGAGCGGTCCTTGTTGAGAAGGGAGGGGCGGGGTAGGGGTGGGGGGCTCAGAGGCCCGGCGCTTTCTCCAGCAGCTGAAGGAACTTCTGGGCGTTTTCAGGGTGAAATGAACTGCAAACCACTGCACTTGGGCTGGCCCCGGACTCCTGCTCCGCTCCCCTGCTCTCTCTCCCATGCCAGCACCACCCCGTTTTCCATCGCTGTCATAGTCTAATTCATTTCACTCCCTGGCTAGGGCACTGCTCTCATTATTCCTTCTTAAATTTTTAATTATTCACGTCTTTATATTTCCAGATGAAATTTAGATTGGAATTAAATGAGACATCTAATTAAATTTTTAAGAAATTTACGCACATTGTTCCATGTATTTAAGTTTTATTCCACAAACTGTAATAAGCTTTTTATTGTTTTATATTTTCAATTGCAACTATGAATACACTTTTTTCACAAAATATTCTCCCATTTTATGGCTAATCCATCCAGAAGCCATTGAGTGGTGATAATTATTATCTATATGAACAGCAAATTGAATTCTTAATAGTGCCAATAGTACAGGAGCCCGGAATCCGATTTTCTGCAAGTCGTGTGAATTCTGTCTCCTTTCCGGTAGCTCTGTTTTCTCTTTCTGACATTATTTACTTTAGATTACAAAGGGATCTTTTCTAGTCCCTGTCAAAAAAAAATACAAAAAAACTTTTGCTGAAAATTGAGCTGCTTTGTCATTTATTTCCTCAAAAACAGGCCCCCAAACCCACAGAGCTTCCTTAATAATGTCCGCACTGGAATTAGCAGAGCTGGCGGGAGCTGCCAAGAGAAGACTGTAATTGGAAACCACTGGATGGATATCACTGTCTCTTCTCCACAAATCAAAGTCTGAAACAGTTCAATCTTCCCAGAAAAGGTCCTTTCTTTCTTTGCAAAACAAACCGTTTTCTGGTGTCAGAGCTGTGTTTGTGAGTCCACTTCACTCTCACCCCTAGAATTGTGTCTTGCACCTCATGCCGCTGCCTCAGGCCCTGAAGTCCTTTCAATTCCCAGCCACCTTCTTCCTTCACTGCTACCCCCCAGAGGTCTCCCACGCAGCCTGGCTCTCTGTAAGGGGGGATTTCCATGGCTAGGGACGCAAATAAATACAACCCACTACCTTCCTAGCAAGGGGCCCTCTTGTATTTTTTTTTCAGGAGCTGTGAAAAGATGTATAGAATTGGCAAATACACCAGCGGATTGATCCCGCCTTCTTTATCTAGGTGACTGTAGGAGAGCCCACCCCAAAACATCTCATTTCCTGCAACCTGAGGCACAACAGACTCATCCCAGGAACCGCCTCCCCCAGACATCTACATGCCCCCGTAGAAGGAGAAGAAGGGGGAAAGAAAACCTGCAGAAAAGGATAGTTCGAGTAGCCCTAAGATAAATACATGAGACCACTGTTCATCTAATGGTTAAAATCATTATTTTTTTTTGGGGGGGGGAGGCCATAAATAAAATATTCTGAACTTACTTGATTGCAAAATAAAAAGGTGTCCACAATTTAAAATCGTGTCAATAATGTATGTTTAGATTGTGAAATCCCAAATGAGTATCAAACACCAGGCTCTCTCCCTTTCTTTAACGCATTGTGCCTTCCCTGGACCCATACTGGCAGCTCATTAAAATATCTAACTGTGTAAGGTCCTGTCTCAGGGAAATGATTTGGGGATTACAAATTAACCATTATAGTGTGTGTGTGTGTGTGTGTGTGTGCGCGCGCGCGAGCTCTACAATTACAGGGTGTTTTCACACAATTTGTATTATTTCATTTGCTTTCACACAGCATCTATTACTATTTCATTCAATCTCATACAATGATGTGATTTTACTTGACCTTTAAAACAACTTGATGAGACACGTAGAAAAGAGAAAATCAACTTTCTCTGAGATGCGCCAAGTTGAAATAATTGGTCCAAGGTCAAGAAACTAGTGAGTGGAAGGATGAGCCTCGAATTCATGATGATGTTGATGATGATAATGTTTACACACAATAAGAACAGCTATGCTGATTAGACAGCTCCTCTGTGCTAAGTCTCCATGGGATGTGCATCTAGTACCACAGGTTCTTGGATTCATAGGTTTAACATTCCCGTTTCCACCCTTCCTGCGAAACCACAAAGATCCATGTCATTTTGATGGAATATGAATTTGGATCCCAGTAGAATTCAGAGGAGGAAATAAATCATGTAAAAAGGGACAGCCAGCACCTCGCCTAAAGCTCAATTAGGTTATTCTTGACTCCGAACCTATGTGATTACTAGGTAAGGGTTTCAAGATGATACTTAACCAATTTTTCTATTCTACTTGCATGAATTTTTGTGGGGAAATTATATACCTTAGTAGTATTTGTGAATGTGTGATGTAAACGATACAGAAATTTTGTTATAAGAACCTTGAGAATAAGGCCGCCTTCACCCAGAAGAAAGCAGATGTCAAGAAGGTAAAGGGCCTAGGACAGCGGTTCTCAATCTGTGGGTCGCGACTCCTTCGGGGGTTGAATGACCCTTTCACAGGGGTCGCCTAAGACCATCAGAAAACACATATATAATTACATATTGTTTTTGTGATGAATCACTATGCTTTAATTATGTTCAATTTGTAACAATGAAATTGGGGATCGCCACACCATGAGGAACTGAATTAAAGGGTCGTGGCATTAGGAAGGTTGAGAACCACTGGCCTAGGAGGTCTGGCAGCCAGTAAGCGCCCAGTCTAGCCCATGTGACACTGCAGTTTGCTCTTCCTGAGAAGGTAAGTTGTTTTTGGTCATGAGCATGGGGGCTTACGGAACCTGAAGGCCTATAGTCAAAGCTATTTATTATACACAATATCTACCTCACTATTGTAATCTCAGACTTAAGAACAATCAGATATTTTCTTTTTTAAAATAAATCTTTATTGTTGAAAGTATTACATAGGTCCTCTTTTTTTCTCCCATTGACCTTTGTAGCCCACCCCAGGCCTCTACCTCCCTATTATCTGTGTCCTTGGGTTATGCATATATACATGCAAGTTCTTTGGTTGATCTCTTCTCACCCACTGGCCCCACATCCAGGTATGTCAGTCTGTCCCAGTC